TCCACATGGGATCCGAACCCTTGGCAGGAGCGAACCCGCGCTCCCAAGCGGCGCACTCTCCAGTGCACCACCGGGCCGGCCCTCAGGTGGGACTTTTAACCTGGTATTGTAGACATGCCAAATGGGGAAACAGCTCTTGCTTCTATACTCACACCACAACTCTCCAGATTGCACTTCTGACATCATCTGTGCGTGGTCTTTTCCAACACCAATCAATTCTCCAGTTCCCTGTGGACACCAACTGGCTGTCCTACTATTTCACTCAATTCTGACACTGTCTACCTGGAGTTAGTATCAGGCCCCACAGGCGAAGGGTTCAGTCCCGAAGGATGGCCCCCATGTCAGACACTGATCACAAGTCCAGGTTGTCACCTGTGCTTCTGACCAACAGACTGTAGATTGGAGGTTCCCACACCCCCTTTGAGTTTGATGATTTGCTAGAGTGGCTCCCAGAGCTCAGCGAAACGTTTTACTTATGTTTACTCATTTATCACGAGGGATACGACTCAGGAAGAGCCAGATGAAGAGACGCACAGGGAAGGGTGTGGGGAGGGGTGTGGGGAGGGGCGTGGAGCGTTCTTTCCCTCTCAGGGCTCTTCACCCTCTGGGAAGCTCCATGTCTTCACCAGCCTGAAGCTCTCTGAAGCAGTCCTTTTGGATTTTTGTGGGGGTTTCATTACATAGTCAGGGTTGACTAAATCACTGGCCATTGGCCATCAACTCGACCTTCAGCCCCTCTCCCCTCCCCAGAGGTCCAGGCATAGAGGGAAAATTTCCAACCCAGTGATCATGGCTTGGCCTTTCTGGTGACCAGCCCTATGCTGAAGCTACCTAGGGGCCCTCACGAGGGTTCTTTCACTAGCATACAAAAGACACTCATCACTCAGGAGAGTCCAAGGGTTTTAGGAGCTGTGTGCCAGGAAATGGGGCTGGGGGGATGGGGCAGAAACCAAATATGTATTTCTTATTATGTCACACAGGCTTTATATAACTGGCTTTCTGGGAGAGGTGGAATATTTTCTTGTTAGCCATTCCAAATCATTTTGGATCCAAGGCCTCTTTCTGAAAGTGCTTATATACAAGCAAAAGTAAAGCCACTCACATTGTGGACATTGGGATTCTGTGGCTTAGCGAGTCCCACCTTGGGTTCTGGAAGACGGATTTGATTCCCAGGCAAGGCCAGCCATGTAACATTGTACAAGCCACTTGGCCATGCTGATCCTGATTCCTTACTGTGGAATGGGGAGATAACACCCTCTATCTCGTGGGGTGGTTTTGAGGCTCCAGATAAATGCTATGAGTTACCGTAGCACGGCAGGCACATGGCAGGCAGTCAGCATGTGGGTGAGTTAATACTCTTTCCCGTCATATTGCACGAGAGCTGAGAGAGAGACTAGGGAGAGAGGCTGACTTCTGCTTGTTAGCCTTACAGCCATTAGATCTATGGGTGCCACAGCATATCTTTGAAGTGAGGGATGTTAATGCCATATTCCCCTTCCAGGAATGGCGTGACAGTTAAAGGAAATGGTTCCCATAGAGATGAGGGTAGAAAGTCAGCCTACAGGTAGAGTTATGCTCTGTCGGCCAAGCTGTTTCTGCTCTTAATTTCAACAACATATGGTGTTCCTCTGGTTTGTGCTACGATCACAATGTTTACAAAACCCAGATCAGAAACGACCGAGGTCCTCATCAGACCCAGGGGAGCTTTCCAGTGTGTAATGGTGGGTGTGTTCCTCTCCCCACAGCTCTGCGAGGAAGCGCTGAAGGATGGCTGGACCAGGTGAGTTACCCGGCTAATGCACTTGGGTTTCCCAGATAACTGCGCACAACACCAGGGACTCAGTCAGTGGTGAGGGGCCAAGATTCATAAGGCACCAGCAAGGCCAGAAGCAGGCTGGCACATAGGCTGAAGAGAAGCTTAAACCTTGGCTAGGCTCTTTCTGTAAAGACAAGATGTGAGTCCCAATTAGAACTTTAGAACATCAGAGTTGAGGGCCGGCCCGGTGGCGCACTGCTACAGTGCGCTGCTTGGGAAGTGTGGCGGTGCTCCCGCCGAGGGTTCGGATCCCACATACAGACCGGTTCCCGCTCCCTGGCTGAGCGAGGGGCGGGCGCAGCACCGAGGGTTGCGATCCCGTTGCCGGTCCCGGCCCGGTATGGGCGCGACACCGAGGGTTGCGATCCGTTGCCGGTCACGAAAAAAGACAAAAAGGAAAAAAAAAAAAAAAGAACATCAGAGTTGAGACCTTGGAGATCACTGATTTCAAGTCCCAATCTAGGATAGACATTCATTCTTAATGATCTGAAGCAAGTGTTGATTCACATGTTCTTCACCTGAACATCTCCAGAGGTAGCCAGCTTCACTTTGCAAAGCATTTTTCTATTGCTTAAGGGCACTAAGTGTTAGAAAGGTATTTAATGTCACGAACGCTTTGCTTCCATGTAATGTCCAGCCACCGGTCCCAGTTCTTTTCCATGGAGTTGAGAGCCAGGCTCCTCCTCTTCCATTCGAGTGACAGCCCTTTCCACCCCCCAGGCCACTTCCTTTCCAGACTGACCATCTGCACCTCTCCCCTCTGTCTCTCGTGTGCTGTTGTGGACCCCATCGCATGCCAGGATCTTCCTCTGGATGAACTGTGGTTGTCAGTGACCCTGAATCCTGACAGTACACGATGCAGAGGAACCATCTTTCCTCTAGTTCCTGTCACTATGAGTCCACCAGTGCAGCTCGCAGTGGCACTTGTCCTGTGATACATCACCAGTCTGCTTATCTGACCTGCGATGGGTCTGGCCGCCGAGCCTCCTGCTCCTGAAAGTGCGGTCTGTGCAGCAGCAGTGTCGGCGTCACCTGGAGCTAGTCAGAAATGCAGAGTCCTGGGCTTTCCCCAGACTGGCTGCACTGGTCACTGCACTTTAACAAGATTCCTGGGTGATTCATGTGCACACTGTAGTTAGAGCAGCACTGAATTCTTGTTTACCCCTCAGCTAAGTAAAGGGTTGAGGAGTGAGAACTCATTGCAGGAGGCAGCCTGAAGCGGCGGAAAGAGGCTTTGACATCTGATGCAAGCAGAATCAAATCTTGCCTTTTTCCCTCCTCCCCTGCAAGTACCTGCTGTGTGATCATGGGCCAATTGCTCAACCTCTCTGAGTGAAATGGACATAATGTTAACTTACGGTTCTCCTCAAAATTGCCTTATCTGACAAGGACCGGCACGGGGTGCGATTCAGAGCAGATGCTCAGTGAGTGCTGGTTTCCTGCCCTCCCTCCACATACCCAGGAGAGGCTGCAGAGAAGGCTGTGGAGAGCTTTCATGGGCCTCCCAGCACAGGAAGCCTGGCATCTGGAGGCTGTGGCCTGCCACCCTCTCTCAAGCACCATGGTCATGCCCTTGAAGCTCCCACCTGGTATAGCCATTTCTTCTTTAGTGGGTTTTGTGTTGAGCACCGGGAGAGAGCGGCAGTAGGTGCCTGAGTGTGTTCGGCGCTGTGCAAGCCAGGGCTCTTTGTAGGCAGAGGTTGGACACTTTGGAAAGTAGAGGGAGGACCTCAGCAGTCCCAGGCTCTGGAGCAGCAGCCGTGTCACTGAGTGCACAGCTGGAGAGGCTGCTAAGCAAAGCAGTGGATGCCGGCCCAGTGCAGTGGTGTGTCCCCTCCTCTATGTGGCAGTGTCCACACTCAGGCCATCGACTCTTTCCTGACCACTGAAAAAGCCACCTTGGTAGAGTCAGAGGGAATGGATGTAGAGGCCCACATCTCAAGAGAATAGCTGACGTCAAAACAGACCAAGGAGATCTCCCTGCAGATGGCCAGGTGTGGTGTGAGCAGACCACTCCACAGAGGCTAAAGCCACTCCACTGCGCTTCATCACTGACCAAGTCACTTTCCCTCTCTCAGCCTCGGCCCTGCACACGGGGAACAGACCATCCCTGTGGTTTCCTCTCACCGAGTTCACACGAAGCCCTCCGTGTAGGGCCGTGCAAATGTAGGTACTTTGTAAACCGTACTCCCTGTCCGGGCTACAGCGTGGCTCAGGCAGCGTCCTCTGTCAGCCACGCCCATCTTCCATTCTGACTGTGGCTTTTTCCTTCTCGGTTCCTTGTCATGGCACAGCAAGAACTCAGTCGATTGTATTAAAGCTCTAACATCTCTCTCCAGTTCTTTAACTGCAGGTAATAGACAGTCATTGCCCAGGCACTGAGCAAAGAAATTAAGTTTACAGGGTTATTGTCAAGTGACTTGCCCAAAGACGGAATGAGCAAGAGGTTGCTAGAAATGTGGTCTGTGAATTGACAGAGACAGTCACTTCTGCAGAAAATCCCAGTGGCTTTGATGTAAACTACCAAACCAAATGTATGTTGTAGGTTTAAAGTAAAGGTTGGTGCAGATCTCCAGGACGATGTGCGCAGGTGCCGGCTCATCAGAGACGTGATTGGACCAGAGAAAACTTTGGTAAGTAGCCTGTGACCCCGCCGAGAAACAGCAGCCTGCAGCAAGCCTTTGTCCTGGGCCAAAGATCAACTCACGTCCAGCAAGGATTAGAGAACATTGAGATTTTAAAACTTCCTCTCAGACAAAGTACAGCCCTATAGTCCTGCAGCAGGGGAACTCCAAAACACAACAGCGAGGGGACTGATAGCTTTAAATTCTCTTTTTCTTTTTCTCTTTTTCCAGGGACCACTGGGCAAGAAAGTTTTAAATTTTTTAATTCTGCAGAACAGTTAGGGATTGTTCCTTCTTGCTAACGTTGATTGCACCTGAGCAAACAGGTCTCCCATTGGCACCCTGGTGTGTCAATCATTTAATCTCCCCATGTAGCTCATTTCCCCATTTGAGGAAATGTCAGAACTTTGGCTACAATAAATGTAAGGACCAGTCATTCCTGACGTTGTATTTTTATAAAACAGTTCCTATTATGTGTAAAACATTTTCATAAAAGAAAGTCACAATAAGATGATTTTGTGAAGTTTTTGAGGCTTGTTTCATAAATTAAAACAGAAGTTTGGAGTCCTTGACCTGGGATCAGAAGTCCCATGATTTATACATGAATTAATGCTGCTTTTGCTTATGAGATCATCCTTATCCAAATAATTGATAGAATTTTGTTCCGAGTGGACTGTCCTGTAGTTCTCGTAGTGTATGTGAAGTTCTCACCACTTATTACAGTGTATGGGGATACCCATTTCTGAGTCTGTCTTCTCCAAGCAGGGTAAGGCTGGGGATGGCGGGCATGGAGGGCCCTCTCTTGAGCTCGGCACATGCAGCATCTGGCTTCCAGGTGAGAGAGCAGTGCACAGAGAACCAGGCCTTGGAAGGAGAGGCCTGGACTTGAACTCAAAAACTGACTTGACTTAGTGTTCTTGAGCAAGTTACTTAACTTCTCCACATGTCAATTTTCTTCTTTGTAAAATGGGTTAATATGAACTGTCGCATGGGTTTATTATAATGTTAAATGGTACAAAATCCACTGAGTGCCTACTGGAGCAAATGCTTCATTAATGGTAGAGTTTGGGTTATTTATTATTTATTGTCAGACACATAGTGGGCAATAGTGACTAGTGAACAAACTTAGTGTTGACTGTACACAATGATTCAGAATGTAGTAAAAAAAAAAAACAGTTCCTAAAAATAGAACTAACACTACAGAACCTCAGGGCCAGCAAGTGTGTCCCATGGCCTGCCCAGGGCCCTTCCAGACATCACAGTGGCTCTTACTTCTCCAAAAGACAATGTCTGGAGCCAAAGTTCCAGTTTCGGTGGCTGCTTTTTGGCTCCTTCCGTCAGGGCTGCGTGTTGGGCCCCAGCAGAGGAAATGTCAGGGGAGTCTGCTCAGCAGCTGGTGGCACAGAGTGACAGCCTTTCCTCCCTGGGAGCCACAGCCTGCACCGAGGTTAGCACGGGCAGATGTAGCCATGAAGGGCCTCTCTGTCCTTGCAGATGATGGATGCCAACCAGCGCTGGGACGTGCCTGAGGCAGTAGAGTGGGTGTCACAGCTGGCCGAGTTCAAGCCGTTGTGGATCGAGGAGCCAACCTCCCCTGATGACATTCTGGGGCACGCTGCTATTTCCAAGGTAGATAAACTGCTGCTCCTGCAGCCGCTGTGGCCATTTATTTTTCCCTTTCGTTTTTTAGGGTGGGGTGAGAGATCCTAAGATTCTTTTGCTTGTCCCTTTTACTTTTCCTGATAAAGTAGCTGAAGTAATTGTAACATGTGGTAAGTATAGAAGTTACAGACCTGACGTCATTTTACCCACTTCAGCGTGTTCACTGCCCTTATTTGCTTATTTTAGAGAAAGGAAGTTCCTGAAGGTCAAAAGGCAGCCAGCAATCTGAAGAGTAGTAGACATGATTCCCGTCCTTTATAAATATAGAAATGTCACTGATATTTAAATCCTTTATTCCCTCTGAATGAAACAAAAGGTGTAGATTCCTCTGGGTGACTCAAAATGAAAGGGGAGCTCAGCAAAGGTCAAGGTCGGGCCTCCTCAGGAGAAGCTGCCTGTTTCCCAAGAGCCCTGGAGACGAACCCGCCCTAACTGGGGTCTGGCATCCCTCCCTTCCAGGCTTAGAAAGAACCTGATATGTCAGAACATCTGAGAAACATCCTGTCTCAGGGGGAGCCTCCCATCTCCCAGGTTTACATCACTGATCTACAACGCCGGAGAACACCACCTGGTTAATTTATATAGAGAACTATAACTTCTAGATTTTTGTATCCTCTGGCCGGAGCAAGCTCCATCTTGAGCGAAAAGCTGCTGGCTGAATGAGGAGTCGGGGCAGGGACTGGTGTGGGACTTCACTGTGTGATGGCATCAGACCACCACGGCTCGCCGCGTCCATCCAGGCTCAGGTGTGCCTGCTTCTGGCACCAGCAGTGTCGGGGCTCAGCCTCCACCTGCCCCCAGGCAGGGCCCAGCCTCTGATGCCCTTCGGTGTTTTCACGTGGCAACCCTTTCCCTACACCATGCCATGGGGTCAGTACGTTCCTTGGCTGATGGCCACGTCCTGCTGCCTAGGAACATTTTCTCCTGAGGTGACTTTGCATAGCTATACTCTGCCTCACTATGTGTTGATCTTAGAAATGTAACTGACTGAGGAGTCTTCGTTCCATAAACTCCGGTGCTGCTGGGGAGCGGGGCCGGGCTTAGACCCGTTCTTCTCCAGCCTCTCAGTCAAGCAGCACCTGATCTGCCCTATGGGGGACACTCTCCCAAAGCCTGTGTTTCAGGAACCCCTGCTCTCCAGAAAGAAGGGGCTGAGAAGCAAGGAACGCTGTAGCTGGGACAGCGGGACAGGGCCTCAGGGAGGGGCGGCAGCAGCCGGCTTTGCTTGTGCAGAAGCCACACCCTCCAGGGACAGCTGGGACAGCAGATGGTCCAGGCGGGGGCTGTGGGTAGGATCTTCCCTCCTCCCGGGGCTTGTGGGGGTCGCTGCACCCTCCTGAGTGCCCACTGCCCACTCGGGCCTGGCCTCCACCCCGCAGAGCCTCCTCACCTCTCTGGGCTTCAGCCCCCAAGGTTTTGCTTACCAGGAGGCCTGGCCTCAGCAGGCATCCAGGTGGGGCTGCCGTTGGAGCTCTGTCCCCAAGGAGTGTAGCACAGAGCGGGCCCCTGCAGGTTCCCCAGCACGCAAGTGACATGGGGTCGGCGGGGACAGAGGTGATGTGGCTGCCCGCAAGATAGAAGGCACCGAGGGGAATATGGGAGGCGAGGAACGGGCAGGAAGAAAGCGAGGCAGGGACGGGAGCTGGCAGGCTTTGCAGTCATCTGGGGGGATGAAGGGGGTGGCGGCTGGGAGGGAGCAAGTGCAGGAGACACTGACAGGGAGGACGGGAATGTGGTACCTAGTCAGTGCCAGAAACACCTGTGCATTAAGATGGTAGAATGGGTGTCACATGGCCTTTCCTCCTCCCTGCTTCCCTTTCTCCCTCTCTCTTTTGACAGGAAGAACCAAGGGCACTTAAATTAGAAATTTGAGGAAACAAAAAGTGTTAGCACGAGAAGGTACCTTAGAGACCCAGAGCTCAATCTGAGACCTTCTGCAGATGAGGAAGCCAGGGCTTCAGGTGGCACATATGTGACTTCTCCAAGACCACCCATCCTGTGAGAGGCAGGACACGTATGGGAATCAGGGACACTTGGCTCCTAAATTAAGGCATTTTTCTACTGAGAAGTTGGCTGAATCTAATGATTCAGATGCGTCCTCCGGCTCTGGAATCAGCCTAGAGTTCAAACCCCGGCTCCACCACTTTCTAGCTCTGTGACCCGGGAGCAGTCCTAGCTGTGCACGCCTGTTTTCTCGTCTGTAGAATGGGGAGAGTGATGGCTCCTCTCCCAGTGGGTTGTGACCAGGAATCATTTAAGTCAGTGTTTTGCACAGTGCCCGACAGGCAGTAAGAGCTCAGAAAGAGTTAGGTGTTGGTGTCATTGATATTATTATCCCAAACAAAGGGAAGGAACACCAGGGAGAAACCAAAGATGCCTGAGGAGAGGAACTGGATTCACAGTCCAGTGGAGGCTACGGGGGCAGGGGGAGAGCCCAGGTGACAGGTGAGTGGGTAGCTTTCAGGGGTCCAGTGAGAGCAGCAGTGCTGTGACCAGGTGAGGATTCCAGCACCTCACCAGGTGAGGAGTTCTCCTGGTGAGCAATGGTCTCAGTCTCAGCCTAACCTGCAAAGCAGGATCTGAGGCCACCCACTGAGCTGGAAGGGAGAGCATTTGGGGATTGACAGAAACAAGGGAGAGATCTAGAATAAGCACTGAAGGGAGACCACAAGGAGGGAATACAGGGAGTGGAAGGAGTCAGCCAAGGTTGGACTCCATGGGGCCATAAGGAGCCACTGCTGAGCGGCCAGGGCTTCCCCCAGTTCCACAGCAGTGCACAGGCCCGGAGAGGAGGGGCACAGCAGAGCTTGCTCTGGGCCGCAGAAGGAAATCTGCAGAGCCAGGTCCAGGAAGGGAGCCGGGGCGTCTGAGCGGGGCCTGCCTTTCCCTGTGCAGACACCCAGCCCTCCCATATCCACACACGTTCCCCTTGACATCCTTCTGCCAGTCTTGAAGCTTTGCAGGGCTCAAGAGCAGGGATGTTTCTTTCTTCAGCTATAAAAGTTTTTAAACATTAAGAGTTGCTGTTCAACACTTAGGAAAATAACAGGCTGCCTTTTCTTTGTAGGCACTGGCCCCGTTAGGAATTGGAGTTGCCACAGGAGAACAGGTGAGTGATGTCTCTTTGGGGCCAGCACACACTGACCACCGACTGAGGACACAGTCCTATGTTAGGCCCCATCACCTGTTGTATTTTGAGTTGTGAAATTTCTGTCTTAGAAATTGGGTCATTTTACAACACTTAACATTAGAGTCTGGAGTCAGATAGAGTCAAAAGTTTGGCTTTTTCCACAATTCCTATGACGAAGGTCGTTTATCTTTTTCAAAGTGTCTAATCAACATTGACAAAGCAGCAATTTAAAGTTGCTATTGCAAGGGCTTAAAATGGTTTCAAGGAAGCCAGCTTGCAGATTGAATAAACTTGATCATGTTCACGTTTTGTGCTTATAAACTAATACAAGTGCCTGCCAAATCCTGCTGCAGCCAGCCCGCTGTGGAGCATTGTGAGGAACAGATTCTCAGTTTTCCCAGCAAAAGGAGCAATGCCGCTCTGCATGGTTTTATTTTGTCGTCCAGGCCACCTGCTCATTGCTGTCACTGTCTTTCATCCTGATTCTCTTCTTCATCTCCCACTTGCCAGTCAGTGTGACAGTTATTCCTTAGTCAATGGCGAGCCAGCATGAAGCTTACCTGACTCGCACTGCTCCGTGAGCGGATTCCTGAAGACTAAGCCCACGTCCCCGCCTGCACGATCAGGGCTGGCCTCATGCTAAGCGAGAACAGAAGAAACACAGCCCAGGCTTTCTGAAGGCCGCTGAGGAGTGGTGTGGAATTGCTGCAAGACCGGGTTTAGCGATCCTGAAGGCCAAAACTGACTCTGCTGTTGGTGTTATTTTTAATTCTATTTCCAGTGCCACAATAGAGTGATATTTAAGCAACTCCTCCAGGCGAACGCCCTGCAGTTTCTCCAGATTGACAGCTGCAGACTGGGAAGTATCAATGAGAACCTGTCAGTATTGCTGATGGCCAAAAAGTTTGGAAGTAAGGGGGCCAAGACCAGTCCTCCCCCACCCCCATCCGACACCTGTGGTTCCCTCCAGGGTCTTTGCAATTCATACAAGTCTGTAGTTTGACATTTTGATTTTTATCTAACTCATTTAGCCATAATTGGGGAATCTTTGGTGATTTTTACCCTGGAATATCATCCCTAATTAATGAATGATTTAATCACCTGCAGGTAATAAGGAAAACCACAGGGCTCTTTTTCATCCCTTTCTCTCTCTGCCCTACTCTTAGATTTAATAGAATTCTGTCTTCACTTTAGTTCCTGTCTGCCCCCACGCTGGTGGTGTTGGCCTCTGTGAACTGGTGCAGCACTTGATTATATTTGATTACATATCAGTCTCTGCAAGCCTTGAAAACAGGTCAGTAATGTGGCATCAGCAGATACTTTCCATTTCACTAGTGTTCCCCAATCCAGGCCAGATCTTTTAAAATTCTGCTTTCGTGACCAGAGATGCCGAGAAGCTTGTCCACTGGCACAGCCAGTGGGTTTTGCTTCCACTTCTCCACATGGGGCAATAACCACCAGACACCCGCCGATGAATAGTCACTTTCTTTCCAGAAGGGTGGTCTTGGGTTTAAGGCAATAGCTACGCCAATTGTCTGGTTGGGATTATTGTTAAACTCCTGCTGACATAGCCAGTTGTACAGCTAGGCAATTCATAACTAAAGCCAAAATGTTTCATTGTTTTAGTTACATTAAGTTTTCCATGTATATTGTCAGGACTAGGGGTTAGGGCCCACAGACCCTTCAAACCTATCGTACAGACTGGGTCACAGACACCTCACATAGCCTGGCTGGGTCACCAGACCCCTCACACACAGGCCCATGCTCTAGGTAATTGGGAAAGAGCCTGGGAGCCATTGGCAGATGACACAAGTTCAGTTCTCAGTTTCCTTGGCAGTGGTGGTAGCATCCCAGGGGTGGGGGGCATTGTGGATCAGAGCCACTCGTCCTTTGTACTTAAGTCCATAACCCAGGACACCTGGGTGCACATGGCAATTACATTAGACAGTAACCAAGGAACACCTGGGTGCACATGCATATTTACATCAAATGCTCAGCAAGATTCTGAACACCTGAGGGGCCCTGACCATTCTCCTATATTTTCCCTACAGATGGCTCTTGGTAGTGATTCACTTTGTTTAAGTACATTGGGCGGTGAGGTTTGCAACCAGAACCCCTCCCTCAGCCAACCCGTTCCCGACTTTCTCAAGCCCCGTGTAGGGAAAATACAGGACATGGTCAGTGCCCCTCAGATGTTCAGAATCTTGCTGAGCATTGATATAAGAATGCACGTGCCCTCAGGCCTTCCTTGGCTATTGTCTGTGGGTGCGCCGGGCACCTACGTGATTCTGGTTTGTCTGACTAGCACCCAGGTGTCCTGGGTTATGGACTTAAGCATAAAGAATGAGTGGCTCTAGTCCACAAGGCTCCCCGCCCCTGGGGTGGGGCCTACAGGAAGGCTGAAGGCTGTTGTTGCAAGCTGTCGCTGCCAGGGCCCCTGGGACCCTCTGGGAGGCCGCCGCCGCCGACTGAGCTCATGTCGACTGCCAACAGCTCCCAGGATCTTTCCCAACTACCTAGCTTGTGGACCTGCATGTGAGGGTGACCCGGCCAGGCATGTGAGGGGTCTGTGACCCAGTCTGTACAACGGGTTTGAAGGGTTATGGGCCCTAGCTCTAGCAATACAATTGGCTATGTCGGCAGGGTTCCAACAATTGCCTAACCATACACCCCGCTTTCATCATATGTCTCTTCTCTCCTTTCCTGACACTGGAGTCTTCCACAATCTGGCTGCATCTTCATTTAGTTTCATTTTCTCAACATGCTCCAGGTGAGCTTTAAGTTAGGACAGTCTCCTAGTCACCTGCACACACATGGCATTGCTTCTTATACTGTTCTTGTCTCCTGGAATTAAAGGTATCACAGAAAGGTCACGAAGTATAGGAGAGCACTTCAAAAAGATCACAGGGTCTGGCCGGTTAGCTCAGCTGGTTACAGCGTGGTGTTATAACACCAAGGTCAAGGGTTCAGATCCTTATACCAGCCAGCTGCCAGGAGGGGGGAAAAATTCATGGAAAGACTCATTATCTTTTCATCACATTTTTCCACTAACTTGTTGAAGTACTCTTGTATAGCGAAAGCATAAAAACATGCATGGAAAAGCCAAACACCGAACTCAAGACTGAGAGAGAGAAACAGAGAGAGAGAGATGGGACCCGTCAGGGCACACAGGGCTGTCAGTTGTAATTGTAATGGTTTCTGTCTTCAGCTGGGTAGTAGGTAGACAGGTGCTGCCTTCTAACATGCTGCAGCTATTTTCTACTATTAAAAACAAGAACATTAGATGGGGAAAGAAGAAAACCTGGGCCTCCTTGGTTAAAGTTGCCACTAGTTATTTGATCTCACACAAGTCTGAACCTCAGTTCGTTCATCTGGAAAATGAAGGTTGGGACTAGGTCATTTTTCTTTCCCTTCCAACTAATATTCTGGATCTGTAGCGAAGAAAGTTAACATTCCTCAGTTCTGCTTTTGCCCTCCCTCATGCAATTCCTGCCTTTGGGACAAAGGGAGAGGTTCTGATCAACCTCGAAGGGTCCTTGGAGTCTTGAGGCATGAGGAGGGTCACCCCTGCACCTCAGCACACCATGTCCCTGGACACCCACTGAGGGGAGATAGTGCCTCTTGCAGGCTTCCCTGCTTGGGAATGGCCCTGTGCAGGGAAAGCC